CCCACCTCATCCCTTATAAATACATGATCCTGCAGAAATGGATAAAAACAAGGAGAAAGTCCAGCTGTGCTCTTCCCGCGGCGGCTGCCTGTCTCTCACCCCTCTGTCTGCACAAGCGCGGCGGTTGGAGAGGCATAGTTCAGCTCTCTGCTAGCCCCGGCAGCTCCCACCGTACAAAATGAATAAGCAACACATTGCAGGCTGGGGTTCGGCGTGTCAGCTGATCGCTAGCGGGATGCCTTCTGAATCCCTGCCTGGGCTTGGGTTGCTTTTTGTTGTTTGGTTTGGTTTTTGATTTTTTTTTTCTTTCTTTTTTTTTTTTTTTTTTTAAGCTTCCAGTATTATATACGTGCAAAAAGGAAAAAAAAAAAGATTCGAAAGCATAAAGCGATGCGGAGCAGTCGGGCTCCTCGGAGAGGTCAGGTTCAAGCGCTGCAACCAAGCAATCCCATTAAAAACGTGATTTCCATGTCTAGCAAAGAAGATGCTGTTCCCTTTTAACACCAGAGCAACATTTTGCCTCATTCCCTTTGCAGCGTGGCTCGTCCTCGATAGGGTTTCTTTGTCTCTTGTTTGCTATCTGCTGTGGAGGACGAGCATCCTGGTTAAAACCATGGCAGGTTGGAGAGGACCAGGAAAGCCTCCGTGACCATTCAGGGATCCTGCTTTCCAGTCATGATCCTGCACAGTTCTAGCACTTTCTCTCCACAGCCCACAAAGGATTTTTTATTTATTTATTTATTTATTTTTTCTTTTAAAGCAACAGCTCCCAGGTTTTAGTACAAACGGTTCCCAGTGCAACCTCCTCTCGCTCGCTGGCGAGGCTCCGCGAAACAGCGCGTCGTGCAGATTTTGTAAGGGAACAAAGCTCTTGTCGACCTTACACAGACCCTCATCAGAAAAGCCATCAAAAAACGCCACCACAACCTTGCTAATTGAAACAGTGACCGCCAAAAGTTGGTGTACCAGCAGGCTACGCCTTCCAGACGAAGCAGCCGTTGGACACCAGGCGTGTCCTGCTTGCCTGCCACCACAGCCTGCCCAGCAGCGCGGGCTCCACAGGACAGCAGTGATGGTAGACAACGTTGGCACATCGGCCACCTACCACACTTTTGTGACTCCCATCCTCAAGTTCCAGCTCCTGAAAAACTCAAAGGACAACTGAGATTCTTCCTGAATTAAATCAAGTTGCCAGCTGTCAGGGGTGCATAGTAAAGGTGCGATTGCCTAGGCCAAAAGGCAAATAAAAGATGCCAACCCCTGCAGAGAACGGCTGTCTCCAGGTGAGCAGAGGCAGCTTTGCCACCTTGCCCTGCCAGAGCAGACACCAGTAAGGTCAGAAAGCCCTACAGTGAGAAACCAGCCGATACCGGGTAGCATCTCCACCGTGTCACTGCTGCCACACTGATGCTCCTTTCCTACCCTGCAGACCCTTATTTCCCTCTCTGCTGTCCTCAGTTTCTAGCTGCTTCTAGTCTGGACCTCCACACATTCAGCTGCTTTCAATATGATTCTGTAAATGATTTCAAGCAAAAGCCAAAGAGGTACCAAAATGCTGCTATAAAGAGCTGAATGACACATTGATTTAAAGTGCTTTCAACCCAATATCTTTTCCTCATATCCTTCATTTTGAGCATGTGCTCTCCACGCTCACCTCTCACTTGCCTTTGCATGGAGAGAGCCCAACAGCCAAGACCATCACAGAACCAAGCCTGCTCCAGCTCCTCCGTACCCACCCGAGGGAGACAGAACCAGCTGGAACAGTTAAAAACGACAGTGCTCCATAGAAATAGGAGGACCGCAGAGTGTAAGAAAAAGTTGCTGTTTCATTTTATATTGGTCATCTACTGGACTTTGTGTTGCACTGTCTTCACAGGGGAAGGTGGTGTTATAGAAGGGCAATTACTGGCCATTGGGCTGATGTTAAATTTTCAACTTGTGCGTGTTCATGTGACAGGCAGGGCTCTGAGAGCTGCATGTTTTCCTGAGAAAGGTGTGTCTTAGGCTCTAGAATAGTCATACCAAAAAAATCTCAATTAAACATTTAAAGTTTAACAGTATCACTCAGTTTAAATGGACTCCTGGCTTCACTAGAGGAACATCAATCCCAAGTTTTCTATAGCTTTGCAGCACTCTCTCCTATCATGTAGGTGTAAGAAGGACTCTGAAATATAATTGAGGATACCCCAGATAACTCAAAGCAGACAGGCTGGCTGCTTACATCACCTTTTAGTTTAATATTTCTACTGGTATGTTCTGGAGCCTTCCAGCACCACAGCCAAGCAAGGGGCAGTGCTCGAAGCAATGCTGAACTTGGCTGCTCACTCTCCAACAAGCAGCTCTGCTGAGATAAACCCAGCTCTTCGGGGCTCGTGCAAAGACAGCCTCAGGTGAATGCACTGGTAGGATCAAGCTGGAGCACTGGGAAGGGAGTCAGCAACGACAAAAGGGAATCCCTTTCTTACAGGCTGAAACTGGAGCACCTCATATACAAAATAAAGCTGAATAAAAGTGTCCTGTGGTAAAGATCTACACAAAACTTACCCATCTGAACCACTGAGGACTGAAGAGAAACTGAAGTACATAGTAGCTACTACTCCTCTGCTGTAGCTATGAAATTAAGGTGGAGGCAGGCCAAGTATTACCCACGGTCATACACAAAGCCTGCAGCAGCACATGTGAATGTACAAGGTTCCTAAGCCTTCTAGCAATACCCCAATCCCTGCACCTTCTTTCCCTCTCTCCATTACATGCCAGGGTAAATGTGAAATATGAAAACCAGAGAAACAGCAAATCACTAAAAAAAAAAAAAAAACCCACCAAAAAACTTTTAAAGTGAGCATTCAGATTTTTCACAATGCTCCAAAACACCACCTAAAACAGTAAGTTGAAATCATAATTACTTCTTATATGGGAAAATGAATCTGTGGGTTATTTCCTGTTATCTAAGAGGTGGATTCTTAGAGGGCAGAATGTCATCTTGGTCTTGTTTTATGGGACCTTCTAGTTACTTCAGTGCACATAAGAAGCTCAGAGCAGAATCTAATTGCCCTTCAGGAATGTGAATTAACTGCATTCTTGATTTCAAATTGAGCTGGGCATGGAATAGGAAAATTCCTTTGCAACTAAGCAAGCAGGAGGACCAGTTTCAAGTGGATAGAAAACTCAGTGGTTGTCCTTGGCACTCCTTAAGCTGGGATCTGAGGCTTCTGCATCAGGCAGGCAACCACTATTAACGCTCAAATAAGGGAGATACAATAACTCTCCATGCAACCTTAACAGGCAAAACATTTTCTAGAAGTGTTGTCACACTATCAGAAATAAAATCACTTGACATGAAGAGTTACCCAATCTAGCAAGTTACACTACCACAGAGACTGCTAGTAAACACAGACCTGTAAGGCAAATAAACCTAAGAGCAGCCCTGTCTTCACCAGCCTTCCTCAGACAACGTGACTGGTGGCTACTACGACTGACATCCACCTACAACACCAGAAAACAGAGTCCTCCTCTTTTAATTTTATTTTTCTTCTTCCAAAAGCTTGCTAAGAGACACTACAATCACATTTCCTTTCAGGTGTTGGCACAAACCAGTAAATTTTTGTTTCAAACTTCTAGCTCCAGATTTGTGGGAAACAAAGATCCAAAACTGGCACCTCAGCTCCAGTTACTCAGTAAGTAAAGTCTGATCAAAAGCACCCCAGAAACTCATCGAGTTTGGGTCAGGGTCTCTCTCAGCCCTAAGTCTACAGTTCAAACATTGGTTTGTTTTTAAAGTAATATATCTGCTGTGTATATTTCACTTTCCATCTCTTTTCTGTGTTTATTGCAGTATTTGCCTTGTGAACACAACTTCAGGCGTGCTCAGATCACAACTCCCATTAAACCATTAAAATCCTTCTATTTAGGGTCAACAATCTAGAATTTTCAGCTTCCTGTTAAAGCAATAATTTTTTCTTCTGACGGTATTATCTGCTACATAAACAGTTTTCAGGCTGATCATAATAAAAGGGGGTATCTGGCTGGGTGCTGGCTTTGACATTGCTGATCGTATTTGTCAAAACAAAAACTCTCAAACATTTCTATAGTGTTATCTGATCAGAGAGCTGCTGGAGCTTCCAGTTAATCAGGTGATGATAAAGAGCAAGTGTCTCAAAAAACAATGAAAAAAAAAATCCAGAAGGCAGAACTCCTACTTATGTTATGGATTAATAAGTACCCTAAAAAAAATAATAAAAAAAATTGTTCTTGTGGAAATTAATCTCTGGATAAACAGAAACGTCAAGCAGCTTCCAGCTGGATATCTAAATAGCTACCACTGGTGTGTGGTCTGTGCATCTCAACGCCCATGGGTTTCTCCTCAAACCAATGAGTCTTGCCCAAGGTCACTCTACAGAGCAGGAACCTGAATTTTGCTCTCTAAAGTCCCATGCCAGCTCTACCACACACTGTCTTTTCATCCTCCTCACTGAAAAAAAAAAAAAAAAAAAAAAGGCCTTTACCATCCCCTGCAAACACCAGCCCAACATTTCAGGAATATCCACTTAACACCGTTGCCACACATTTTTAAGAGCGACACTAACAGCACTTCCATTTCATGTTCAAGATATTCCGACTAGACTCCTTCCTGATAACACTTTATAATTACACTGATGAGTATTTTTTGGTTTGTTTTTAGAGAAAGGTGTTGCTTTTTTCAAGAACACTGGGGGAAAAAAACCCGCACACGAACACATCGCTGCAACAAAACTTCCTAGGTGAATAAAATACCTGCTCAGGAGACAACTGGAATAAGCAAGCTATAGAAACAAACAGAAAACATAGAATCATAGAATGGTTTGGATTGGAAGGGACCTTAAAGATCATCCAGTTCCAACCCCCCTGCCAGCAGCAGGGACACCTTCCACTAGACCAGGTTGCTCAAAGCCTCATCCAACCTGGCCAAGAACACTTCCAGGGAAACAACTCAGTAGGAAAAAAAAAATATATATTAAAAAAAAAAGAGTTTTGCCTCAGATTTTAATCATAG